GGGCCTTATTTATCTTATGAATTGTTTACCATTACAGCACTTTGAAAAAGTTGATTAATCCTCAGTTTCTTAATTCCATTTATTTTTCTAACAGTGGATATATTGGGGCATTTATTTGTTCTGTACTAGAAAATGCAGTTTAAGAGCACACAGACTTGTGTTCTAACCTTCTGTTGTTCACCACATTCATGGTAGCTCTGAATCTCTAAATTTAGTTTCACCTACAAAGTTGATCTTGGCAAAATGGAGAAATAGTGAGAAACTTTTCTGATATAGTTTTGAGTTTTCTAACAGTGGATATATTGGGGCATTTATTTGTTCTGTACTAGAAAATGCAGTTTAAGAGCACACAGACTTGTGTTCTAACCTTCTGTTGTTCACCACATTCATGGTAGCTCTGAATCTCTAAATTTAGTTTCACCTACAAAGTTGATCTTGGCAAAATGGAGAAATAGTGAGAAACTTTTCTGATATAGTTTTGAGGCTAAACTACAGTGGTGGGTGAAAATTATTCCTCTGTTTTCCCTTGTACTCCACCAGGAAAATGGGAGTTTGGTCCAGTATTTTAGAAGCTTTCCAAGATCCGCATGGTAACCTTTTGAGAAAGTATATCTCTGCAGACACTGCAAACAGAATTCTCTTCAGGAACACAGGAATAGGCTGTGTCCTTTCAGACCCTCGGCCCCAACAAGGAGCCCTAGCACGGGTGGCATCGGGTCAGCAGGAACCAGCCAGCCCGTGTGCTAGGACTTCAGAAAGATTGCCTCTTTGACTTTCTTCTCCTTCCTCAAACTGTTTCTTGCTTTCTCATTTTCTTCTTTTTCTTCTTTTGTCTTTGTTCCCTTTTCCGCTCCAGCACTCCAGCCTTTAAAATGCCAGGCTGTTTCAGATTCAGGCTTAATAGCCTATTAAGATATGAAAGTGTGAATTCACATAAATTTTCTTTTCTTATAGTATCATAGTCTAAAACATTCTTTTCTTTATAAGAAAATGGAGCCAGGCATTGTGGCCTACGCTTTTAATCCCAGCACTCGGGAGGCAGAGGCAGGTGGATCTCTGTGAGATGAAGGACAGCCTGCTCTACATAGTGCATTCCAGGCCACCTGGGGCTACAAGCTCTGTAGGAGATCTCTGTAGGACCCTATCTCAAAAAACAAAACACACACACAGACAGAAAGAGAGAGAGAGAGAGAGAGATAAAAAAAAGAAATTGGCACTGAATGCACAGGGCACATGTAGTTTTCATATTTTTCATAACACATCTAAATAACAAAAACTCTATAATAGGGTTATTAAGATTGGGAAGAAGAGTAGAGTCAAATAATATGTCTGACTTATTCATTGTTCCTTCAAATCCCACTCATCAAAACTAACAGCTTTTAGAATATATATAAATACTAACATTCACTTGTGTTTCCTTATATGAATACATGAACGCTTGCTATGTGCATGTCCAAAATTTGCTTTCTGTTTTGCAGATTTAAGCACTTAGCACAAGCATACCTGTATTTTCATTTACATGTACATCATGTACCCTCAGATTTCTGAGTGAATCTTCAGAGAGGGTTACAGTTACACCTCTAACTCTAATGGTGAGGTGAACAGCTTAGAGTTCTGGAGGAAATGGGAAAGAAATTCTGAGTTCTTGAGTCATTTCCCATTGGTAGTTCTAGAACACTGAGCATTCTGCAAACCATAATCAGTTGCTCTCCAAGCATGCAGAGGCTGTGGGTGACTTTCATCCACTCTTCATACTGTTCCACAAGGGATCCATTGTTATATCCTTTTATACGTGAGACACCTGAAGCTCATAGAGAATAAGAAAACTTTCCTTGGATGATAAAACTAATTACTTGAGCTTATGCATGTCTACTTCCAAATTCCAGGCTACTGTTTCTATATTTGGAATTTATGAATTCTTAGCAGTCAAGATATAGTCGTTTAAAGTGTGTCTCATGGACTGGGTACTGTGTTTCATGTCTTTAAACCCCAGCATTTGGGAGGCAGAGGCAGGTAGACCTCTGTGAGTTTGAATCAGTCTGGTCTACAAACTGAGTTCCAGACCAGCCAGGTATACAAAAATGAGACCTTGCTTTTAAAAAAAGTGTCTAATAACTTGTTTAAAGCTATCTACATATTTTTTCCGGGACCTACATAATTTTAGTTGCTTCAGATGACAAGGAAATCTCCTCAGCACTGACAATAAAAATGTAATGTGGGGATTATGACTGACCTTCCTAGCAACAGCTTTGTAGGCAGTATATAAACAAAGTTTAACCAGAAGAAGTCAAGAAGAAATCTTATAAAGGCTGTTTAAATCAAGAACTTACTTTTCAAATTTTGGCTTTCAGTTTGAAGTATGGATGTGTCCATAAGAAAATTAAAGTTTAGAAATACATAGGTAATTGTGAACATTTTAAACTATATTTTTCATATTATAAGCAACACATATTGTATAAATGCCTTCAAACAGTCAAATGAGCATAAGCCATTGAAATATTTAACAAATATCTTATTATAAATCATTTAAATAGCAAATATGTGTTAAATATAGCATAGTTAATATGTTAATTGGCTTCCTGAATTCTCACAGTTCACAGAACCACAGTTGCAGCACTGACCATGGATCTGGCAAATGAGAGCTTCACAGGGGAGTTTGTTCTGTTGGGATTCTCAGACAAGCCCTGGCTGGAGTTTCCAGTCTTCGTGGTCCTCTTGACCTCTTACATAGTGACCATCTTTGGAAATCTCAACATCATTATGGTGTCCCGCCTGGACTCCAAACTCCATACACCCATGTACTTCTTTCTATCCAACCTGTCAGCCATTGATCTGTGTTACATCACATGTACAGTTCCACAAATGATGGTAAATTTACGCAGCATTAAGAAAGTAATCAGCTATGGTGGTTGTGCAGCCCAGCTTTTCATGTTCCTGGCCTTGGGTGCTACAGAGTGTGTTCTCCTAGCTGTCATGTCCTTCGACAGGTTTGTAGCCATCTGCCGGCCTCTCCATTACTCAGTCATCATGCACCAGAGACTCTGCCTCCAGTTGGCAGCAGCATCATGGATCATTGGCTTTGGAAATTCAGTGTGGTTGTCCATCCTGACCCTCCGGCTGCCGCTCTGTGGCCACCGTGTCATAGATCACTTTCTCTGTGAAGTGCCTGCACTGCTCAAGTTGTCTTGTGTTGATACAACCGCAAACGAGGCCGAACTCTTCTTTGTAAGTGTGCTTTTCCACCTGATACCCCTGACACTCATCCTTGCATCATATGCGTTTATTGCCCAAGCAATCTTGAAAATCCAATCTGCAGAAGGTCGACAAAAGGCATTTGGGACCTGTGGCTCTCATCTAATAGTGGTGTCGCTATTTTATGGAACAGCTATCTCCATGTACCTGCAACCGCCTTCGCCCCACTCCAAGGACCGGGGAAAGATGGTTTCCCTCTTCTATGGAATCATCGCCCCCATGCTGAACCCCCTTATCTATACACTTAGGAACAAAGAGGTAAAAGAAGCCTTTAAAAGGTTGATCACCAGAGTCTCTGTAATCAAGAACTAAGTGAAATGCAAAAGATAAACTAAGGGGTTTCCCAGGCCACCCTCCGTTTTGCTCATGCTGATGGAGAAATGAAACTGAGCACCCTGGATGCTCCTTGACTGATAAAGGTGTCTAGTCTTCTGGTGAAAGAGGTGCTAGCGAGGAGGCTCAGGGGTTTAGAGCACTGACTGCTCTTGCGGAGGACCCAGGTTCGATTCCCAGCACCCACATGACAGCTGACAATCAGCCATGACTCCAGTTCCAGGGAATCCAATGCCCTTTTCTGACCTCCATGGGCATTACATGATATGGGTGCACTCATACACATGAAATAAAAATAATAAATTAAAAATTAAAAAAAGAAACTATGGAGATAAATGAACCCTGACCCTGAGACAAAGTCCTTAAATCATCTTATAAGCACCACACTCCTAACCCTCACTCCTCAGAACCGACAAGCATGAGTTTACCACCTTTCTATGCCATAGCAGGTGTCAGAATTTTCTTCCTTTGTAAGACCAAATTGTATTTTATGTATAGACCATGCTCAAGTCTCCCTTCATGTTGATGGATACTTGGGCCCCTTCCATCTGTTCTACTTTCTGGTGTGTGTGTGTGTGTGTGTGTGTGTGTGTGTGTGTGTGTGTGTGTATG